AATATATAAAGGTCCAGGCGGGAACCCCTTCAAGTCCCAGGCAAACCGAGATGGTTGGCTGTGATACAGAGGACAGAGGTCTAACAAGTTCTCAGTCATTGAAGGAACAGGCACCTTAAAATCGGAATGCGGCTGGCCCTGCGCACAGGCCTCGGCTGGAATTCCCGAGCCATAGGGGCTCCTTGTCCCTAGTTCTGGGAAGGTGGGGACACACCAGTGGTTCTCGACCGGGGGTCATTCTGTCCCCCTTCTCCTGCCTCGGGGGGCAAACACCAGGACATCCCACCTCCCCCCATAACAAACATTTGTTCAGTCCCAAATGTCAGCAGTGCAGTGAGAAAGCACAGATTTCAGGCTTTGGGTAAAATGCACAGACACTGGGGCTGAGATTACAGGGAAGAAAGAGGGCTAAGGAAAAAGGGCTCGTTTTCCAAGGGGTACAGAGCGAATGTCAAAGAAAGAGAAAAGGGGTCTTACCTCCCACAACTGATGCAGAGCAGCAAGAGAGGAACTAGAAGAAAATGCCCACACTGGGGGACAAAGAAGAACGTGCAGATAGACGCCAGTTCCATTTTGTTACTATGATAGCACAAATATATTCTCATTGCTCAAACAAATGGGAAAAAAAGATATAGCAAAATATGCTGTGATTTTTTTTTCTCGCCAATAGAGACTTTTTCACTCTCACTACATTTTATGTACTTATACAATTAATTGTCTGCTGATATGTACAAAAATGTTTATATTTTTAAGCCTTTTTAGTACTAAGGTATTATATATGTGTGTAATCTATGTAAGACATAAAGCATAATACAATAGAAATCACTCTTTAGTGTAGTTTTTCAACTGTAGACAGACACAATCCTGGAACCATCACTACGACAATGATTCAGAACAGTTCTGCCACCCCCCAAATTCCCTGGTTTTCTGTAGATATTCTCTCCCCTGCTCCCAGCCTTTGGGAGTCCCTGGTCTATCTTCTGTCCCTACAGTTTTGCCTTTTCCAGGATGCCCCATGAATAGAATCACACGGTACGCAGTCTTTTGAGTCTGGCTTCTTTCTCTTAGCAGAACGCATTCATCCACGTCGGCTCCTTTTTCTTGCTGAGTTACACTCTATTGTGTGGACAAAGGTTTCTTTCAATCCTTTGAGCTGCTGCAGGAATTTTGGGTCTGGGATTTGGTCCATTATACATAAAGGTCCATTTGGTCTGCTATAAGCACTTGTGTAGAAGATTCTGTGGGAACATATGTTTTCATTTCCCTTGGAAAAATACCCAGGTGTAGGGTATCTATGTGTGCATTTAGCTTGAAAAGAAGTTGAGAAACTCTTCCAAGATAGCTGTTATGTTTTGCATTCCCAGCAGCAATGTGTAGGAATTCCAGTCGCTCTGCAGGTTTGTCTGCACTGGCTATTGCCTGTTTTTAAAGCCATTCTAATACAAGTATATTGGTACCTCATGGTTTTAATTCACTTTTCCCTAATGGCATCATTTTTTACTATCTTTTTATTTGCCAACCATATGCCTTGAGAGTGTCTGCTCCTATCTCTTGTCTGTTTCTGAAATTGGGTTGTTCTCCTATTATTGAGTTGCGGGAATTCCTTTTGCATTCTGAATGCTAGTCCTTTATCAGAAATGTGATTTGCAAACATTTCCACCTAGTTTTGTGGCTTGCCTTTTCATTGTCTTAATGGTTGTATTTTGAAAAGAAGTAGTTCTTTATTTTGAAGTCCAGTTTTTAAAAATCCCTATCTTAAAATCCTTTAAAATCTTTCCTGAGATTGTGTGATCTGACATATTATGGTACAAAATAAATGGGGATTCTAATTTTAAATAAATTTAGCTCCTTTCCTACCCTTTATAACCTTTTTTTATGGCTCCACAGCACCCTCAGGGCAATAACAAACTCCTGTTAGCTGTTGTGTAAAGGACTTGAATATTTTTATCCTTGCTTACTTCTCCACCCACATTTTTTAAAAAATTTAGAAGGTTCTTATCTTTTGACCCAGCAACCATAACACCAACTTACATAGCCCTCAAAACTGACTGCCCATTAAACACTAACCCCTCTTCCCTCCCCACAGCCCTTGAGGGCCATTTTTCTACTTTGTTTCTATGATCTTTTTCTGATTTTAACTACTTTAAATACCTCGTATGAGTGGAATCATACAGTATTTTCCTTTTGTGACTGGCTTATTTCACTTAGCATGATGTCCTCAAGGTCCATCCATGTTGGTTTCATGTGGCAGGATTTCCTTTTGTAAGGCTGCATGCTATTCCACCGCATGTCTATATCACATGTCCTTTATCTGCTCGCCTCTCAATGGACATTTGTATTGCTTCCACCTCTTGGCTATTTTGAAAAATGCTGCAATGAAGTAATGCCATGTGCCTCTGAGCTTGGCTGTAGCTCATTTTCCAGAGGAGAAAAAGTGAGGACTCCAGATGGGACGAAGGCACACCAGCTGGCACTCAGAATCTTCCACATATTCTTAGGGTACATCAGGCAATGCCTAGAGAAGAAGGAAGCTGATTGCCCAGGGCAAAAAAAAACACTACATTTTAACATCCAAACTATAATTAATATGTCCTAATGGGAAAAAAAAAACCTTCAAACATGCAGAAAATCAAAAGCTCCCCTTGAAACTCATATCTGGCTCCCAGCTCTGCCCCTTCCCAGGCCCCCGCACTCTGTAGGTGACTTTTTACAATTTGGCTACTCGAGACATAACCACACTCCTTATGGATTCCGAATAAAAAATCCATAACCTTTTCAAACAGGCATTCAATCATACCTGAAAATGACAGTATACCAGGCCCAAGAACATGTCACGTCAGCTGATCATGTGCTCCAGCGCATACGGACTGTATTTTCTGAAGCCGTACATGTAAGAAAAATGTAACGCAATAGCTGAGAGATGGAAACAACCCACACACCTGTCAATGGGACGAAGGGACACACAGAATGTGCTGCATACATACAATAGAATATTGCCCAGTCTTACAAAGGAAGGAAATTCTGCCACATGCTACAATATGGATGAACTCGGGGGACGCTATGTGGAGGAAACCAGTCACCAGACTACAAAAAACCAGAGCGTTCCACTTAGATTGAGTGCTTAAAATAGTCAAGTTCATAGAGACGGGAAGTAGAGTGGCGGCTGCCCGGACGTGGTGGGAATGGGAAGTTACAGTTTATTAGTAAGTACAGGGTTTCAGTTTGGGATGATAATAAAGTTCCGGAGATGGATGAAGGTGATGGTTGCACAACAATATTAATGTATGTAATGGCATTGAACCGTACACTTAAAATGATTTAAAAGGGCAATTTTATATCATGTATATATTACCACAATGAAAAAATGTAATGCAGTGTGATTTTTAAAACGGAGGTGACCTAGAGAGGGCAACCCCTGTTCATCTGGGGATGAAATGGAAGTGAGAAATGCGGGGCCCAACGACGATGAGGGAGCTATACATTAAGGCTGGTGAAATGCAGCCAAATCATTTATAACCTTCAAGGCATGGAAGTGATTGATACAGTGGGAAAGTAGAAAGTGATAAACACCATAGAAGAAATTATAACTTAAAAATACACTAGATAGGGTAAATAAAATAAGCTCCTTCAGGGCTAGCAAACATCTATAAATACTGAACACGAGAACAGAAAAAGGCACAAAAAACCACATTAGAAATAAAAAAATAAGAGATAGGAATGGAGAGGTATTGGAAACTATTAAAAATAAAGACTAAAATATATGACCTTTTGGCTAATAAATGTGAAAACAAGTCAGACAATTTTCTAGAAAAATACTAAGGACGGCATTGATTGACATATAATGAAGTCGACCAGGCGCCCATAGACTTTTTTAGCAAGGGGCCAGATAGCAAATATTTTCGGTTTTGCAGGCCAGACTACTTCTGGAATGTAAACGAAAGGGCAAGTTATCTTTGTCCTACGGGCTACAGTTTGCCAATTTGTGAAGTTCTCATCTAACTGACTTAACCTTTAATGACCTCTAACTTTTAAAATAATTGAAGCTGTCCTACAACAAGACTCACCTCAACCTGCCAACCCCTTCCCTGATCCCCACAACGGCTAGATGTGCTCATGACTGAAAAAGAAAGAAACCCATGCAAAAGCTTATGAGCCCGGGGTCACTGGACACCCAGCCCACAGGATATTATGAAAAGGAAACTGGCAAACACATTATTGAGTATGTTTGCAAAATATACGTGAGAATTTAGTTGAGTCCAGGGATGATTATTAACAAAAAAAAATGAATAACCACATATCAACAATAGGGGATAATGTTTGCCGATGACATTAGCAACCCAAGACTGGTTTAGTATTATAATATGTATGTATGCAGTCAACCACATAACAGATTGCTAAAAATAGCAATCTTTTCAAGAGATGCCGAGGTGTTTGAAATAGTTTTACATTAAATATTAGCAAAAATATTAAATTGCATGAGGATTCACGGCCCAGGCACTGCAGACGCTTGGGCCTGGGTGGCTCTGTGCTGCGGCAGCTGTTGCGGGCATCACGAAGTGTTTACGAGCTTCTGCCTTCAATCTTCAGGATGTCAGCGACATTTTCCTCGGCGTCCTCACCCAGGTGGAATGACCGAAAATGTCTCCAGACGTAACTGAATGCCCTTGTGGGATGAAACCACCCTTGGTTAAGAACCATATCACCAAGATTAGACCAACGATTTCTCATTTAAAATTAAGTTAGACCAACTGTCCCTCATTTAAAAACCTTCACAGGCCTCCCATCATTCACAAGACTCTAGCTAGAGCTTGTCCCATAAAAATATCTAATCTACTGCCTTTTGCATGAGAAGATCCAGCCAAGTAAATCTTTTATGTATTCGTGTGTTTACTGCTTCCCCACAGTCTTGGGGGTGCTGCTGATTCAGCTACTGGTTATGGCATGGTCTCTGCTGTACTAGGAGAGGCCTGCAGAAGCTTTGCTGGAGCAGGCGGGCGGCGAGTGGATGGGGGGGCACGGGCGGTCTGAGGAGCGGCCAGTCTGGGCAGACGCGAGGCAAGGCTGGACTTACATACGCATTTGCATCTGGAGAACACAAGGGCCAGCAGCGTGCCGCTGCCTCTCGAAAGACAACCTGTTGGCCACGCAGAAAGGCAGCCCAGCCCCCAGGTAAGCTGGAAGTGGCCACAAGGGGCCCAAATTTGTAGTGTTTGCAGTGATGTAATACAAACATGGTCAATGTCAAGCTGCCAGTGCTTTGAATGGTTTGAAAAAGACCTGAGAACTTATCAGCGGTGAGTTTATGAGCCAGCTTCACACCATCGAGGAGATGGGCTCCCAGCATTAGTTGGGAAGCTATCTCTTTTTTCTGTCTGGAATGGTTTCTATAGCACGGATATCTTTTCTTAAAGATTACTAGACTTTATCCATTTTTGCCCCCAGTGTAATGCTTTGGGTAAAACTGATTATTTTTATTTTGAGGCTAATAAAGTACCAGTGTCTAGATTTTTTGTTGGGCCAAATTTGGCAAATCTATATATTCTCTTAGAAAAAAGAACTCTTCCTCTGTATTACCAAGTTATTTGGTTTAATAGAATGCACAGTGTTCTCCTAATTAAGAAAAAAAAACATATTCTCCATCTGGGTAGTTGGAACTGGTTTCTAAAGACTCACTTCCTAGTAAGTGGCAAATAGGGGTCCCTGGAAACTGGGGAAGAGCCCAATCCCCAGGCTGGACGGTGAAGACCCCAGACTAAACAGGGGCTAGAGTGACAGCCAGAGGCACTCGGCTTCCTCGACCCAAAAACACAGAACAAGTGGTGACCCGTCGGGAAGAGAAGGGAAGCCGTTTTCTAGCAGGGGGCTCTCAGGGGGCTGGTGATCTTCTCTCTTTTGAAACAGATTTTCAAGAACAGTTCAAGTCAAAGCTGAGTGGAAAACAAGGCGCCGGGGTGAACAGTGGGATCCGGGAAGGGGAGGCTGGGTCTTGCGGCCTGAAAGACTGATTCAGTCAAGCAGCAGAAGGGGCCATCCCCGCGCTGTCCAGAGACGGGGGGTTTCGGCCTGCAGGTGCTGTCACTGCCCAAGTGTCCCCCTCTCCTCAGCTAAACAGAAGAGGAGAAGCCGAGAAGACACTTGGTTCACGTCTCATCAGAAGGCAGAGTTGGAAGCCTGTTGACCCAGTTTCCTGATCACGTCACCCAGGAGTCACTGGCGTCAAAAAGCCCTGGACAGCGCGGGTCCTGGTGACAGGGGTTCGCGGGGCACGTCCCGCGCTCTCTAGACCCTTCTCATGAACGCTTCCGCACCATCCCTTCCTCTACCCTGCAACCAAATAACCATCACCATGACTCACCCTTCCTTGTCTAGCAAGTGTCAGAGGGCCTGACGCCCCGTGCTGGACACATCTTGGGTTTTCACCCTCAGAAATGCAGACCTATCTTACAATTGAGATAAACCGAGGCACAGCCCGGGCAAGGTCGCTTCCCCAGGGTTTCCAGGCCGCGAAGTTGTGGAAATGGGAGTTCCCACGCAGGTCTTCTAAGGGCCCTGTTCTCAGCTGCGCCTTACGCAGGACCCCAGGGGGAACGGTCTTCCTTTACAGCGACACCCCCCCCACGTTTGCCTGAGCTTCCCCGGGGACTCGGCGGGGCCCCGAGGAGCCGACCAGAGCCCCTCCAGCTGGAGTCAGCCACCGCCGAGGGCGCATTAGGTCCCTTCTGGAACACGCCTTTCTCTGGTGGGTCCATCAGAGAGGCTTCCGAAGGCACGTCTCAAGGGCCTGCGGGCCAGACTCCGGCATTCCATGCTCCGGAGCCCGAGGCCTTTCTCCTGCGGACAGCCCTGTGCGGGGGGTCGGGGGGCGCCTTTCCTGCCCCTCCTGCTCTGGGGTCCAGGCCTGCCTCGCCCCCTTCCTTCCTTCCTTCTCCATCCTTGCCGCCCTCCGCCTCTGGAATCCCTCGAACGCGGACGGTGGAGCGGGGAGCTCCTGCCTTGGGTGTGATGGGAAGAAGCGCCCTCTTGCCTTCCAGAAGCCGCCTCATTCTTGGGGAAGATGGATAAGCATCTTTCCGGGGCTCTTTTCCATTCGCACTCCCTCATCTCCTTGCCTTGACTCCACAGGTTTGGTTTAAAAGCCACCGAGATAAGTGGAGAAAGAATGGACAGAATGGGAAAGAAGCGGTGTCTCCAGCCCACCCCAGTCCAGCCAAGGGGGGGGACTCACAGCACCCAGAGCCCTTGCCAGCAGTGGCCCTGTTCCCCGAGTCTCTCGGATCCCCACAGCACCCCTCCGCTGGGTCCCTCGGAAGCCCGCTGGGACCCCACACCAGACTTCCCTACAGCATGACACCCAGCTGGACAGGCTGGTGGCCACAGTCCTGCCCTGTCCTTAACTTGTTACAACACAGCCCAAGTCACGGAAGCCCAGGGACGTTTCTGAAGAACAGGAGAACCCTCACCTTTATCGGTGCCTGTCCCGGCGTGAGCGCTCACGGCAGGGACAGAGTCCTGCCGGCCGGGTCAGTCGCCAGCTGCTCTGCCCCTTTAATGATGCCTGCAGCACAGGACCAAGCTGGAAATTCCAGAAAGCCTCCCAGGTGACTAATCCCATGGATTTCAGAATTCATGACCTCAGGTCACGCCAGCATGTATAGAGGATCTTTTCATCTTTTCTTCTCTCACCCCTGTTTACCCTTGGTTATGCTTCCATACGCAAATGTACGGGTTAGAGACACTCCTTAGAAGAAGGAACTATGTCTGCAAGTTGGGAAGGCAAATTTGCAAATAAGGTTAGCTTTTGCTCCTGATTCTCTGAGTCTCAGTGCTCTTATCTGTAAGGTGGGAATATAAGAAGCCCCATCACGGAGGGCTGTGAGTGACCATTTTCCTAACAGATTTCAGCCTGTTTTTCCTTACTCTGTAAGTGCTCTTTATATATTAGCTATATAGTCCTTAGTCTGTAGTGTGTGTTGCAAATATTTTCTATCAGGTTGCTCATTGTCATTTCGTTTATATTTTCAGCCATGCTAAATTTAAAAAAAAATATTTTTATTTGTAGTAAAACATATGTATCATGAAACCAACTCTTGCATCTTGCAAAACTGAAACTCTGAGCCCAGTGAAGAATGACTCTCCATTTTCCCCTCCCTCCTCCATCACCACCGCTCTATCTGCTCTGTGGATCTGACTCCTCTGCAGACCTCATACATACTTTAGGTACCCACAGACTCATAACAGTATTTGCTCTTTTGTAAGGCTTCACTTAGCATAACATCCTCAAGGTTCATCCATGTTTACAATGTGTCAGAACTCCCTTCCTTTTCAATTAAATTTTTATGGGGTCATATTGATCAATGCTTTTATTACCTGTTGATTTTGAATCATACTCAAAAACTTCAGCCTGCATCCAGTTAGCATAGGAATTCATCCATATTTTCTTCTTGTGCATTTGTGGTTTTATTTTTTTACATTGAGATCTACTATTTTTTTACATTGAACTACTAATGGGGAAAATATCTTGGGCATAGTGTAAAGTACCAGTCTAGCTTTATTTTTTCAAACAGCTAACCAGACATCCTAGCATTTGCCGTAGTGATTCCAGATGACACTTGTATCATATACTAAGTAGCCTTGCACCTGTTTCTCTTACATGGGTCTGGACGCCTCTATGCACAAGTACAGCATTGTGTTGATTGGATGGTCTTTCTAGTTTTCATTATTTGTTGGAGCTGGTCTCTTCACGGCTTTTCTTTCTCAGTGTTCCCCTTGCTATTCTTGTATGTTTGTTTTTCCATATGAACTTTAATCTCAAGTAAACTAGCTCCACTAAAAAAGCTTGTTGCTGTTGTTACCGGGGTTGTATTAGATTGGTAAGTTGTCTTGTGAGCACCTGACATCTTTATTGAATCATCCCATCCAAGAAGGAGGGATATTTTCCCCATTAGTAGTTCAAATGTCTTTTGTGTCTTTTGGGAGGGCTTTGAATATTTCACCATACAGGTTTTGCAGATTTCTTAGGTTTATTTCAAAGTATTTTATCATCGTTGCTGTCATAAATGGGGGCATTCTTTATCATTATATTCTCTAACTGGTCACTGGTTGAATATTTTGATGAGGATACTGAAGGATATTGATTTTTGTATGTTAAATGAAGCCACCTTATGGAACACTTTTACTGTAGGAGTTAGTTTCATCACTATTTGCTAAGATCTTCTAGGTATCTTTGTATAATCAACATAACAGCGGTTGGCCCAAACCTGCCCTGCCCCATACAGCCTCTAAAGATAATTCAGAAGAATATATCAATGAATCAGATATGATGTCCTCAACACAGGGATCTTACTGGGTGATGAAAAAGCTTCTAAAACTGATTTATGGTGATGGTTACACCACTAATAAAAGTCACTAAAAACAGTCACTGAATGGTACACTTGAAACGGATGAATTTTGTGATATGTAAAAAACACCTCCATGAAGCTGTTTTGCAAAATTAACCTAGATTTGTCTCCACCCTTCTTACATGATCCAAATGCATATATGCCTATGTCATGCGCATTTGCTTAATTTAAATAATCAAGTTACTGATGTAATACCTGCCTGATATCTGCAAGTCTCCAGTGTAGCTTTAATATATTGGAGACAGATGAAGAAAGGATTAAAAAAACCTGCTTTCAGGTTAACTACAAGGCAGAGAATGTCAAAACATCAAATTACAACCGAGTATCAT